GGGGGGGGGGCAGGGATGGCACCGCGAGAGAGAGCCGAGGTCAAGGGACAGCGCGATGGAGATGGGGACAGGACTGGGGGATAGGAACCCGAACCCGAGGGCTTGAGGATGGGGGACAGAGGCCCCCGGGATCTGGGGGGACGGGGAGGGAGGATAGGACTGAGGGATTGGGAGCTGGGGACGGAGAACTGAGGGTTGGACCCTGGGGATGAGGGAACAGGACTGGGTACAGAAGACAAGAGAAGAGGTATAGAGGAGAGAGGGGACAGGACCAGGGGACATGGCAGGGACAGAGGACAGAGAACAGAGGGACACAGGGATGCGAGATGAGGTTCAGAAGGCTGAAGAAGAAGAGGGAAGGGGTGCCATTGAGAAAGGAGACCAAGAACTAAGGAAGGAGGAGCAGAGAGCAGGAGCGGGTTGCGGGGAAGCCCGAGAGGGGCAGGGAGAGAGAGTCTTAGGTGGGAGGGCTGGACGGCTGGGGAAGTCACTGCTGGAGGGGAGGGGCGGGAGGGTGGCCTTGGGAGGAGGGGACAGTGACGAGCAGGCCGCCGGGGCTGCAGAGAGGCTGAGGCAGGCAAGGCCCTGGAGAGCAGAGTCCTGTCCAGGGGCAAGGCTGGGGCAGTCCGGTCACTCAGGGGACCCAGGGGTGGGGGGCAGGAGCAGGAGCGTGGGCTGAGCAGTCAGGACAAAAAAGGTCTGGGAGGTGACCTCCTGGTGGTGGGAGGGAACAAGGAAAGCTGGGACGAGACACCCATCAGGGTTCCCCAACACCCAGGGCCTCACATCTGCACATGTGCACACACATGTGCACGCGCGCACACACACACACACACACACAGTTAGCCCCACTGAAGTCCAGGTCCAGCCCCGGATGCTGCCCTGGGTTCTGTTCTGCACCCCACCTCCTATCCCCCAGGATCTCCTCTGCTCCTACAGCTCAGCCCAGAGGAGGCCTAATGTGGTGCTCTGGGCAGGATCCAGGGGCAGGATCTACAGCTGGGTGGTCCAGAGCTGTGTTCTTGCCCTGGCAGGATGAACTTCTTCCACACACAAGGGAGATCCAGCGCCGGTGTTCCTCATCCACACTCAGATACGCCAAAGATCCACCCCCTCACGCACGAACAGCTCAGAGACATAGCCGTCCCCGAAAGCACACATGCACACACGGACTCACATCAGGATTTACACACACAGACTCAGGCCTGTAGAGACTCACATGCATGGACAGCTCCCCACCTCCAACATCACCTACAGTCAGACACACAGAAGTGCAGCCAGGATACGTGTGCACAGACACGCATGTGCACACACATACGTGTGCAGAGGCACGCACAGGAGAATATGCACAGCCATGGGCAGATACTACATATATAAGAAGACTCCCAAGCTTGCATTCATGCCCACGGAAATGCACGTGCACATAATAAATGCACGCGTAGTGTCTCCGGTGGGAGAAGGACTAGGGCAGGGGAGCTGAGAGCTGAGGTGAGGCGGCAGGCAGAGCAGGGCCAGCTGGGGTGGCTGGTGAGCAGGCGCAGGTTCCTGGGACACCAGAAGAGAATTGAGGTGGGCGCCCGGTGAGTAGGGAAGAGGGCAGGACTGGGGCACAAGGGCCTGGGGGCTCCCAGGTTTGGGTTGGGGGAAGGGGACAGTTTCTTACCAGCAGGATGCTGTGGGGTCCACATTGAGGCTCTGGGCTTTGGACAGTACACCCTCAACTCCTCTAGGAAGGAGGCAGCATCTTCCAGAATGGCAGACTGGCACACCCCAGATCCCCCTGGGGAGGTGACTTAGAGCAGGCTCACCTGCAGAAGACAGGCCATTGGCCTGAGAGGGAGAGGAGGACATGTCCGGGGGGAGGGCGCAGCAGCTGGGGAAGAGGCAAGGTCCACAAAAAGAGGCAAGCGGGGATGTCTTTGTCCAGGGCTGAGGGAGGCATAGTCCAAGAGCCAGTCCTCGCCTGTCCAGCCAGTGCAGCAGAGGACCCACAGTGGGGCGGGGGTGGACCGTGCAGGCTGGAGAGCCTGGGGCCGAGGTTCCACAAAGGCCGGCCCTCCCTCCCGAAGGACAGGAGTCCCTCCCAGTATCATTCCTGGGCTGGTGCAGTGCCAGGATTGGCCAGGGAGACTGTGGGCACTCAGAGAGGGCTATCTGCTCCGAGCTAGGCTCCCGAAAAGGAGCAGTGCCCCAGCCTGGTCATGTGCCCCCGTACCAGGTCCCTCATAGGACAGGAGAGGGCCCCACACCTGCAGAGATGCCTCCCAAGCCCCATCAGGCTCATAGCCCCTTATCACTCTCTGGTGTGGATTATCCACCACTTTGGGGTGATCGCTGAGGCATTCACATCCTGGCTGACATCCCCTGGCCACCGGAATTCTCTAGCCTCACCATCATGCACTGCTTCCTCAGGGAATGTAAATCAATTTAAGTATTAGTCTCAGCGAAATGGAATGGGGGAAGATGACGGTGCTGGAGAAAAAAAGAAATCGCATAATGCTTTCCACAGTGGAACAGGAAAGGCTTAGGAATTATCTGTGCTTCTCAGAGCGGGAGAGGGACCCGTTTGATCTCCCAGAACAGCCCGGGCGGGTAGGCCCAAGAAGGATGCCTACAGACATCTTGCAGATGAGGAAACTGAGCACAGAGGGGTTAAGTGATTCGCTTCATGAAGGCCCTGAGAAACCATGAGTCCCGTCCTCCCATTGGCAAACGGTGAGATGGGCCCAGAGAGGAGAACTGACTTCACGGATGGCACACAGACCTACAGGCCAGCAGTGCAAGAGGGGGAGAGAGCCCAGGCCGGGTGACCAGAAAGGTTTGCATTTCCAAGGGGATGCAGGGGGAGTGGGCCTCATGCTGGACTTGTCTCTGGCCCTGAAGCAATCTCCTGTGGGCCCGGAGCTTCCTGTGACAGGCATTCTGGGTCTCCTCCCCAGCCCCCCATGGGACGGCATGTGAGGTAGGGAAGAAGGGGGACAAAGGGAGAGGAGAGGAGGGCAGGGACAGGGAAGCGTCTGGAAGGAGTTAGAACAAGCAGCCCTAGAATCCTACAGCTCTTCCCGAATCTGATAGAATCGACTTTTGACTTATCTTTGGATTATCTGAGCCCCCTGGCTGGCTGATCAAGAATCAGCTGCAAATGTGGTGAGGTTTCCAGGGGTGGGAAGGGCCTGGAAAGTGGGGTCTGCAGGCGGCTGCCCTACGAGTCACGAGTCACGGTGCTCCCGCGGGGAGGAGTCTAAGTGGTGGACATTTATGCTGACTGCCCCTGGGTTAGGGGCAGGACTGAGCTGTGTTCAGGAGACTGGAGAGCGGGCCCTCCAGCTCTGAGACCACATCTGCAATGTGGGTTGGAATGGGGGAGCCCACCGGTCCCCTGTCCTCATCCTCTCCCCTGACGAGGCTCTGCTGGTCTGGGGGAAACTGCAGTGCGGGCCCCCTCCCCCTCCCACCAGCCAGCAGGAGGAGAGAGCTTGCCTGACCCAGTTTTCTCTCCATTGCCTGAGAGGGAGGGAGGGAGGCGGGAAGGCTTCTCTGCCTGCGCCCCTGGCGTGGGGCCGGCTGGGGAGGGGAGGCCCTTCTGTGGACACTGGTTCCATCCCCTGATCCCACCTGACCCCTGGGGACCCAGGGAGGAGGGCAGAGGCCCCTCCCCTGGTTCTGCAAGCTCTCTGCAGCTGGCCTCCCCTCTGGGGTCCCTGACAATGGGGTGGGAGTGTAAGAGGAGGGAGAAAATCAGCAAATAAGAGCATCCTCACTCCAACGTTTCCTGAAGACACTTGTCTCCATCTTTGAGGGGCAGACGCAGAGCTATGCAAATTTCAGGCAGCAGGACACCCAGCCTCCCTGCAGAAAAGTTCTAGGAGGGCCCCAGCAGTGTTGACCCTCTGGAACCTGCCCCAGCCAGCCTAGGTGGCAGCCCGTGATTGCAGGCTGGGAGAGGGGGTATGTGGAAGAGAGCGTGAAACGGGAAGGCATTGGGAACATGGAACCAAGAGCCCTCTCATATTCCTATCACCAGATAGATCAAAGGGAGCAGGGGCCCAGAGAGGTGAAGGGACTCACTGGAGGACACACAGCAGTCGAGACTCAAACCCCGATTTCTTAACAGTTGAGTGCGCCTTCATCACCTTAAAGTGAGTGGGTAGGTCTGAGTACAAGGAGAGAGGCAGGAGGGGCAGGACTTTGGGAAAGGGAATTAGCTTTAATAAGGCAGCGACTCCAGGCTTTACAGTTTACTTTCTAGGTGTTATTATCCCCATTTTACAGATGAGGAAACAGGATCAGAGAAGCCAAGGTCAACTACTATGTAGCCGCACTGCGATCTGAGCCCAGCCGTGTCTGGCTCCAAAGGCAGGTCTTCTCCATTGTGTTGTTGAGACTTCGCAGGGTCCCCTTTGGGGGTTTGGCTTGGAATAGACTTGCCTTTCGGGCCAGCGCTCCTTACCAGCCACGGTGACTTGCTCACAGGTTCTGCTTCCTGGCCTTAGGCTGCCGGGGCTCGCGGCGCCGGCTGTGGTTGCCTCCCCGGGTGTTCTGAACACCAGGCCTGCCGACTACCCCGGGAGCGGGGGGCACTGAGCACGTTCCCGAATGTCCCCGAGGCCCAGGGTCTTCATTGGTCAAATGGAGACGAGAGTCACCACCTCGCGGCGGCTGTCATCCTGCAGGTCGGGGGCGAGACGTCTAAAGCGCCCCTCGCAGAGCTCAGCACACGGTGGGGGCCGGGAGGCAGTTCTTACTGCTCCAGGTCCCCCCACCTCAGATGTGCTCAGAGGACCTGGTAGGTGCCAGGCATTTCCTGTGGGACACTGGTGATTGCAAAGCTGGGACCGGTCCTCCCGCAGGAGGTATGACCTCATGGTGCAAACCTTGCTGGGTGCTTTTGAAAGCCATCATGTCCCATGAATGAGACGAGGATGAGGCTGTGTGCAAAACAGGACCCATGGTCACGCCCATTTTTCACAGGAGGAAACTGAGCCTCAGGGAGGGGCAGGGACTTGTTCAGGGACACACAGCCCCTACGTGGCAGGGCTGGGAATGTGGCCCGGGCCTCCTGGACTCCTGAGGCCATCTCTTAGTCATCCCACTGCATCACCAACCAGGGAAGCCCCGCGCTTGGGGCAGCTTGTGTTCCAGGGGTTTGGAAGGTCACATTTGGGCCGAGGTGGTGGGGGATGGCCTCAAGCAAGAGGGACAACTTGAACCGGGCCCCAAAGGAGAGGGGAAGCAAGGCGTGGAGCTGGCGTGTTCGGGGCTGAGAGCAGACCAGTGTGGCCAGGTTGGGCTGCGCTGTGGGACTGGGGAGGAGTGTCCTAGGCTCTGATGCTCTCTCCTCTCCTGTTTTACAGTGAACTTGCTGGACACGTCCACCATCCACGGAGACTGGGGCTGGCTCACATATCCGGCTCACGGGGTAGGTGACCAGCTGTGGGGCCAGCATCATCCTCTGTGAGCAGAGAAAGCCTGTGACTCATGCTCTTACCATCAGATAGATCAAAAGGAAGCAGATGCCCAGAGAGGTGAAGGGACTTACCCAAGGCCACACAGCAGTTAGAAACAGAATTGCTGATTCCTTCCCTCCCTTCCTCCCTCCCTCCGTCCCTTTCTTCCTATCTTCCTACCTTCCTACCTTCCTTCCTTCATGCAGACCCCTGGGATTACAGAACCAAGCCTGGTGCTGGGCTCCCGATTCTTAAGTCTAAGGCCCTAGGTGTGGGATCCTGATGTCTGTGTTCTGGGCCTACAGATTCACGCTGGGCCCCAGCCGGGCCTTTCACCCCTTCGGGATTGGTCCCCTCCCTCGTGCCCTGCCTTCACCAGGAGCTGCCCGGGCCCCTGTTACTCTGTTCCCTAGAGTCATCTGGGCGACAGCTGCCAGCAGGTGTAGCCGAGCCCCGGGCCCCTCTGGCCTCCATGGTGACCCGGGGCTGAGCCCATCAGGTCTCCACGGGTCCCGTCCTCCTGGGGAGTGGCCATGGTAGCCCCAGGACATCCAGAGACAAAGCTGCACTGCCCGGCCCTCCGCTTCTCTTACCCAGACCTGGGGGCAGGGGGAGGATCCATGAGCCTGGCGGAGGCCCGATTCTGCCACTGACAAGCAGGGTGGCCCTGGTGGTCGCCACCTCACTCCCTGAGTCTCAGCTCCCCATCTGTGGCAAGGGGTGAGCATGTGACGACCTCGTGGGCTTTGCTGTCAGGCGGAGGGGAGGTGACACCTGGTCTTGGCGCTGTGCCTGGTACCTGGTGAGCCCTCACTGAATGTACCGTCGCTGTCACGGTCATTAGTGTGTGTTAGGGTTCTGTGTCACAGACATTTCTTCCTGCAGGCATGCTCAGAAATGCACACACACATCCCCCCCGCCCCACAGACGCAGGTGTGTCACATACACGTGACTTCTCTCGTGAACACTGGTTTCCACGGCTCTGGAGACAAGGGTAATAATATTAATAATGATGGTGACAATGACATCAAGAGTGACTATGTGTGAAGGGAGTGGGAGTATTTCTTCACTTCTCATCCGGGCCATTTGTGGCTGGCTGGGGGCAGGCTGGAGCCCCCCTCCCCTCCCTCTGGAGCAGAAAGCCGAGTCCGCTGTCATTAGCCCCCATGTACCAGGCTTCAGGAAGCTTCACAGCAGGCCACATGGGCCCAAGAGCCAGGAGGGAACTCCTTTCTGCCTGAGCAGATTAGCCCTGCCTAAGGGCAAAGGCTGGGTCCTTGAGGTGTCTTTACCTCCCTGGGCCTCAGTTTCTCCCTGTGAATTTCTCCTCTGTGTGTGCCCCAGGTGGCTATCTCCCAGGGGTGAGCAGGGTGTGAAAGGGCTTGAGAAAGTGAGCCAGCTCTGCCAGTGGCAGGGGGTTGACCCTTGAGGAGGTGACCGCCTGGCCGATGGCTGGGTCAGCTTTTCCCCCGAGACCCAGCAGCTAGGAAGGAGTGGGCCTGGCCCCAGGCCCTCCTCAGAGCTTAGGACTTGGCTTTTAGAGTTCCTTACAGGGAATTGTAAGGGTTTTAAGCAGGTGGGGAGCATGGCTGGACTTGTGTTTTCACTGACTGTGCTGCAAATCTAAGGTTCTTTTGCTTCCAAGGTGCCGTGAAGCATGGCTCAGAGTTACCTTATCCTGTTAGAACAAATAGCGTATATTCACACAGCTCTGAACAGTTCACAGGCATGATCTCATTTAATCCCCACGACCAATCCTGTGAGTAGGCACAGCCACCCCATTTCACAGATGAGGAAGCTGAGGCTCAGAGCAGCAAGGAATAGCTTGCCCACCATCAGACAGTTTCCAAAGGATGGACTCAAACTGCAATTGCTCGGGCCTAGAGCCTGTGTTGAGTCCCTGTTCTTCTCTTTGGTCTATGTCCTCATCGTGAGAGGGTGGGAGGCCCACCAGCGTTGTCTGCTGAGCCGGGGACCACCTTCCATCTTTATGGGGGCTGGAGATTGCGCTTGCCTGGAGGGGAAAGAAGGCTGGGTGAGATCCCTGGTTCCCAAACTCTAGACCTGGAACCTGTTCCAGGCTAGCAAGTGAGGCATACAGGGCCCCGTGTCCCGGGGGTATGGGGAGGTGCCTGGGAATCTGGTTTCATAAGCTTTCCAGGCGATTCTCCTGCCCAGCTGGCTAGGGAGCCTGTGGACATGGTCCTTGAGGCTCCCTGAGGTTCCTCTGATTCTGAAAGCTCTTAAACACCCTGGGAGCAAGGGCCATCCAGGGCTGTGTCCAGCATCAGCAGAGTGATTGGATTGTCAACCAGGGCCGCACAGCTTAAAGGCCAAGGGTGCTGCTGGGTCTGGACGAGCCCTTACTCTGCTGCCTCTGATCAGTGTGACCCAGGCAAGTCACTTCCCTGGCCTCCACCTCCCCGTTTATAACACGGGAATGAGCACAGAGCCTGCTCCGTGCACTTGTCATCCATGAGGATGCACGAAAGGGACATTTTCCTGGTGAGAAACCTGAAGCTCTGAGAGGTTAAGCAACTCTGCTAAGGTCGGGGGACGTCTGGCCCCAGGCCCCAGGCTCTTCATCAGGCCATGCGCCTCCCTCCACACGCTGGGACCTGCTCATGGCTTCTGGTGAATTAACAGGCGCTAACCAGCACTGCCTTAGATGAGAGGCACATTCTGTTGTCCCCCCTGACCCTCAGCACCCCCTGGAGTAGGGGGAAGGGGCAGGCATCAGCCGGCCCATTTCACACTTCAGAGAGGGGAGGGGAGATGCCCAGGGCTGCACAGCTGGGGCAGGGCATTCTGTTCCAGACGGACGACAGAGCTGCAGAGCAATGGTGGGGGTTGGAGGAGGAGGGCACCGGGGCTTGGGGGGGCGGGGTGGGGAGGTTTGCCCAGGTGGAGAACAGGGCTCATTCCATCCTTGCACCAGCCTCCAGGAATTCGTGCCACTCTGGGCATGTGCAGCAGCCCCTGGGGCTGGCAGGGCGAGGCCAGGCCCCTGGCCTCGGTGGAGCGGCTGGAGCAGATCCGAGGGAGCTGATGAATTTATCCAGGTCCCTGGCAGGAAACAGACAGGGGGCAGCTGGCTGGCTCTTTGGTGCTCCATTAACTGTGACAATGACTTTAACCCCAGATGGGGCACAGCACTGCCCAGAGGCCCTGGCTGCAGCGCGGGGTCCAGGGGGGTCCTGTGGGGGTAGGGGGTGTAGGAGGCATAAGCTTTTAGGTGAGGCTGGCACACCCTGGACCTCTTGTGCTGGGGTCCCTGGAGGCAGGCACAGGTGGACTGGGAAGATGCTGCCAGGTTGGCATCATGGCAGTCCCATTCCGCTGGTGCCCTACTGTGCCAGGCCCAAGCCAAGAGCTTGGCAGCCTTCTTCTCCTTTCACCCTCTCAAGCCTCGCTGAGGTGGGCCTGTCTGAGCCCCATTTTACAGATGTGGGCCCCGAGGGTTGAGACCACATGCTGGCCAAGATGAGATGAGATGGAGGGGCTTTCGTCAGATAGGAAAGACTTGAGACCACCGTGGTCCCCACTTCAGCACTTGCGGGTCACTCAGAACCCCCCAGATTCTCAGAACATCACGAGGAGTGGTTTTTACCTCCCCCATCCCCCTTAAGCAATAGAATCTCTAGTTCAAGGACAGTTGCGCGTAGAGGCCCAAGAGAGAAGAGCAAGGCATTGCATCTCGGGCCAGCCCAAGGCAGGCACCCAGAGCCCATCCCCTCCATCTGCTCTCAGCCTCCAGTCCCTCCTCAGGGCTCTCGGGAGTCCATGGGACTCAGCCCACTGTGACTGCTCCCGGCCAACCAGCATTCTGCAGTTGAGGAAGCTAGGGCCCAGAGAGGAAGAGCGACTTGCTCAAGGTCACACAGCAGGTTAGAGACCAAGAGGTCTTGACCTCTAACTCCAGGCCCGTTTCGGCACTGGGTCTTGCACGTGAATCCTCTGCGGCCGATCTGGGCTATCTGGTGCTCGCTGAACATTGCTTATTCTTCCTGGCCTCTCGGGGGCTCTTCCCTCCCATCCCTGTAAGAGCTTCCTGCTTTAGCCTGCAGGAAGTTTCCACCACCCCTTAGATGCCCACCCACTTTGGCATGGAGCCCTCCACCACCTTGTCTGTTGGACTGTGAGGCACTCAAGGGGAGGGAGTATTTCTAGAGTGTTCCTTCCTTTCTTTTTAAAAAGGTTGTGGTAAAATGCATATAACATTTATCATCGTAACCGCTTTTTAAGTGTTTAGTTCAGTGACATTAAGTATATTCACCGTGTTGTGTGACCGTCACCGCTGTCCATCTCCAGAACTCTTTTCATCTTCCCAAACTGAAGCTCTGTCCCCATGAAATACCAGCTCACCATTCCCCAGTCCCCCAGCCCCTGGCCACCACCATTCCGTTCTCAGTTTCTGTGGCTCTAAGGACCTCATTTAAGCGGAATCATACAATATTTGTTCTTTCACAACTGGCTTATTTCACTTTGCGTAACGTCCTCAAGGTTCACCCGTGTGGCCGGGTGTGAATTTTCTTCCCTTTTAAGGCTGAATACTGTCCCATTGTTTGGATACACCATGTTTTGTTTATCCAGTCATCCAACGATGGACACATTTGGGTTGTTTCTACCTTTTGGCTACCGCGAATAATGCTGCTGTGAACTTGAGTGTATGCGTATCTGTTTGAGACCCTGCTTTCAGTTCTTTTGCGTATATACCCAGAAGTGGAATTGCTGGGTCACAGGATAGGTCTATTTTTAACTTTCTGAGGAACCTCCACTCTGGTTTCCACAGCAGCTGCACCATTTTACACTCCCACCAACAAGGCACAAGCATTCCAGTTTCTCCACATCCTCCCCAACATTTGTTATTTCCTGTTGTTTAGATAATCGTCATCCTCGTGAGTGTGAAATGGTCTCTCGTTGTGGTTTTGATTTGTATTTCCCTAATGATGAGTGACGGTGAGCATCTTTCTGTGGACTATTTAACCATCTGTATATCTTCTTTGGGAAAATGTCTATTCAAGTCTTTTGCCGATTTGCCAACTGGGCTGTTCGGGTTTTTTGTTGTTGAGTTGTAGGAGTTTTTTATATATTCTGGATATTAATCCCTTATCAGACACATGATTTGCAGGTATGTTCTCCCCGTTCTGTGGGTTGCCTTTCACTCTGTTGATCGTGTCTGATTTATTTCTGAATCACTGATACCTGGCCAGCACCTGGCACAGAAGCCACCACATTCAGGTGTCCCACTGGTACTCCCTTGCTGAAGGATTTGAGGCATAGTCAGGTCCATGCATTAGAAGGATCCCTCTGGCAACTAATACGGAAACTGGACCCGTGGGCTCCCTGACTTACCCAAGCAAAGTTGACCCCCCGGCAACCTCCCACCCTGGGAGTGTTTGGAGCCGCCATATAGACACAAGGTTGGGTTTTGTAGCTTTGGAATCAATTCCAGTCCTGGCTCCACCACTCACTAGCTGGGTGACTTCAGACGTGGGGCTCGCACCTATTTCCTCATCAGTAAACTGCAGCAAATAACACTTTCTCGGAAGGATGGGGCACCTGTGGGATCACATCTCATAGTCGTGGTCCAGTAGAAGGTCAGCAGCTGAAGGGCAGAGAACATTCCGTCTTCCTCCCAGGGATGCCCCCGGCCCCGTGCGCATGTGGCAGGGATGACTGGCAGGAGGGGGCGAGGTGCTCACGCTCATTTCAGCGCTGTGCTCTCTCTGCCCGCAGTGGGACTCCATCAACGAGGTGGACGAGTCCTTCCAGCCCATCCACACGTACCAGGTCTGCAACGTCATGAGCCCCAACCAGAACAACTGGCTCCGCACGAGCTGGGTGCCCCGCGACGGCGCCCGGCGCGTCTACGCCGAGATCAAGTTCACCCTGCGTGACTGCAACAGCATGCCCGGCGTGCTGGGCACCTGTAAGGAGACCTTCAACCTCTACTACCTGGAGTCGGACCGTGACCTGGGCGCCAGCACGCAAGAAAGCCAGTTCCTCAAAATCGACACCATCGCAGCCGACGAGAGCTTCACGGGTGCTGACCTGGGCGTGCGGCGCCTCAAGCTGAACACGGAGGTGCGCGGCGTGGGCCCCCTCAGCAAGCGCGGCTTCTACCTGGCCTTCCAGGACATCGGCGCGTGCCTCGCCATCCTGTCTCTCCGCATCTATTACAAGAAGTGCCCCACTATGGTGCGCAACCTGGCGGCCTTCTCGGAGGCGGTGACGGGTGCCGACTCGTCCTCGCTGGTGGAGGTGCGGGGCCAGTGCGTGCGGCACTCCGAGGAGCGGGACACGCCCAAGATGTACTGCAGCGCTGAGGGCGAGTGGCTGGTGCCCATCGGCAAGTGCGTGTGCAGCGCTGGCTACGAGGAGCGGCGGGATGCCTGTGAGGGTGAGCGGGCCGTGTGGGGGCGGCCAGCGGGCCTGGGGCTCAGTCCGGGAGGGGGCTGCCTGGCTACGGGGGGGCATTGCGGGCAGCACGCGCTGGGGGGCAACAGCATCTGGGAAGAGGGGTGACCCTCCAGCATTTCCGTGTCAGCAAATACACCAGGCGGTGCGTGCGTGTGCGTGTGCGGAGCAGGGGAGGGAGAAGACAGGGAGACACACGACAGCCAGGTGCTAGGCTCTGCGGGTGTTGTGGAGACGTACCTCTGAGGACACCTGCAGGACTGGGCGTCCAGCTGCGTGAGGGGACAGTACTGTGAGCTAACTTAGCTCAGGCATCGTTGTAGGCACTTTTCACGTGTTAACTCATTTAGTCCCCAGAGCTGCCCTGTGAAATAGAAGCTACTGTTATCCTGGCTTTGTAGATGAGACTGAGGCACAGAGAGGCAAAGCAACTTGCCCAGGGGCACCCAGCTAGGAAGCGGCAGGGCTGTGATTTGAACCCGGAGGTCTGGCTCTGGAGTCCATGCTCAAAACCACTGAACTTGAGTGGAGGGAAGTGGCCACAGTCCCTGGGTGCAGGAGGGCAGCATGGGGCCCCTGGGAAGGTGTGCAGGCAGGGATGCCCGGGGAGCCCTGTCTAGGTGTGTCCCTGGGCCACCTGAACCGGCCTGCCTAGGTCTAGGGGGATCTTACCCAGGGACCTGTGGGAGAGGACAGCCAAGGTCCTTGAGAAGAGGAAGGCTGAGGATGGAACAGCATGTCACCTGTTCCCATGAGCGTGCTGCTCGGGTTCCCACGCCAGAGGCCAAGAGCAGGGCCCAGACCCCAGGCTGAGTGTGTGTGTCACACTTGGACTGTGTGGTGTAGCAGGGGTATCCCAAGCACCGGGGACACTGTGAGAGTTGGTTGGACAGACAGCTGGTGCCTCAGCTGGTTGCCCTCTGCCCTTCCATGGCCTCCCCGGGGGGCTGGACACGTGGCTGCTCAGCACTCAGAGCTTAGTGAAGCCTGCTGTTGGGAACCCTGGTCTCCTGGGGTGGGGGAGGATGTTCCTAGGCAGGGATCAGAGAGGCTGGGGCCTGGCCCCAGAGAGGACCTGGGATGGGGCCCGTCCCTCAGCCCCAAGCGGGCAGGAAAGACCCCTTGATGCTCACAGGGCGGAGTAGGGCACGGGCCGAGAATTTCGGGTGGTGCTCAGGGTAGTTCTCTGGGATCAGGATACTCCATCCAGCCACCAGGCCCCTTCCAGCCCCTCTCTGGGGCTCTCTGGTTTCTGTAAGAAGTCCTTCACACTCCCAACTGCTACGAGCCTTCACCTCTAGGGGACCCTAACTTCCAAAGCACCTTCTGTGACGTTCGCCTGTTTCTGGACTTGTTCTGCCCCCTGTGGCCTCATTTGTCAGGCTCCCAGGCTTCCAGCCTCTTCTGGTTCCCATCACAGTCATCCCTGCACTTCTCAGCTCCCTGCTGGATGATAACCAACATCCCTAGTGCCTTTGCAGCTCACAAAGGGAGGCTCACACATCAACTCATTTGCCCCCTGGAGCAAGGCAGGTGTTACAGATCCATTTTACCAATGGGGAAACTGAGGCTCAAGAGGTAGCATCACTGCGTAGGCCTCACAGCTGGTGAGAGGTGGAGCTGGGACCTGAGTCGGGTCTGTCTTGCTGGGAGCCACGTGTAGGCATTTAGCTTATCTCTGGCCCAGCCTGACTGCGCTCCCCACCAGAGCTGGCTTCCAGCACCCCCTCCTGATGGGGACGATAAAGTCCCTCAGCAATTTTCGAGTGTTTGCCACGTACGAGGCACATTAATAAGCACTTTCTCCTTGTCATGGCAGTTACTCATTCTATTGAGCATCTGGTGTGTCCCAGGCATTGGAATTTAGGCACAGGGAGTCCCTGCACTCGGGAAGTTCACACACCTTCTCATGCTTACAGAAGTCCTCTAAGCTAGGTGGCATATCCCCATCTTACAGATGCGACAAACTGAGTCCTTCAACCTAAATCACAGAGTAGGGCTCTGATCCCAGGCTGGCTCCCTCCAGAGGCCTGAACTGCTTCCTCTGTCAACAGAGCCCTCTGCCAAATCCCGCTTCCCCCTTCCCTGGGGTAACAGCAGAACAGTTCTAACTAGTACAGCATAGGCCATAATAATCAGGCCAGCTGGTCAGTGGATCCCTGCTCAAGGTCAGCCACTGATGGCAACTCTGGGTTTAGCCAGCCAGCGCAAGGGAGCCATTTGTCTGTCCAGCGTGCAGTGGGGCACCCTTACCTTGGGAGGGAGACTGGTCCTCCTGACGGTGGGGTCAGAGGTCTTGGGGCCTACTCCAGCCCCTTGTTTGACCGGGGTGGGAAGTGGAGCCCAGAGAGGGAATGTGTCTTGCCCCAGACCCCACAGCAAGTCAAGGACAGGACTCCTGGTAAAAGCTCCCAAGTCCCGAGCAGCGGGACCTTCCCAGGGCTGGGAGAGGCCAAGGCCATTCCCATTGCCTGGCCCTGCTGGCGTATTAATAAAAAATAATAAAGAAATGTTAATGCAGGGTTAGGAAATTGCAGCATATTTTGAATTTTACATTTAAATCACAATGCAACATAATTATGCCAGTTGCAGGATAATTACAGGTTTTATAAAAAATATTAATTCCTAATGCACTGGAGGCAGAGAGGTTTGGGGACGGAATGCCAGTGGCAAGTCGCACGAGGAGAGACTTTTCTCACTCCTGTGAGTGGGATTCTGGGATTGTCTGTGTAACCTCCTTGGAAGAAGCAGCACGGGTCTGACACTGAGCCCCTCCACCAATGGGAGGCCCCGGCTGGCGGCCCTGCCAGGGGCCCCTGACCCCACCCCTCCTTGGGTGGGTAGCCCGAGAATGGCGAGATTGAGGACCAAGCAGGAGCCGGGAACAGAGTGGGGTGCCTTTCTGGGCTACGTGAGTTGTCCTCTCAAAGCTGCAGCTCCCCTCTGCCGCCGACCAACCTGAGAGGGACACCCTGAGGACCGTGGGTCCCCCTGGCCTTCTCCATCAGGCAGTTGTCTCTGAGCAAACAGTTGAGGAGGAAGGGCTGGGCTCCGGGGCCCCGGCTTGCCCAGCCTGATCCCACCGCCTTCCTTCTAGCAAAAGGAGGGGATCCAGAGCCTGAGGCCTGCGGCAGGGACCAGCCCACACGGCGACGGCCACCCTCCCAGCCTGCAGGTCCCCTTCCCCCTGCTTTCACCCTCAACAGCTCTGCACATACGTGGCCAGGGAGCACTTGATTTCACAGAGAAGACAGCGGAGCCCAGAAGGGACCAAGCCAGTCACAGGGCTTTGTGAGGCCTTACCGAGGCTGCCCTCAGGCCTCAGAGACCCGCAGAAGGACGTCAGAGCCATAGGGAGCCCGTCCAGTTTACCAGTGGGGAAGTGAGGGCCCGGAGAGTTCAAGTGACTGGCCCAAGGGCACACTGCTTGGAGTGGTCGATTGGATCCTAAAGCTCCCAACCAGAGCGCCCCCCTCACGACACAGTGCCAGGCCCCGTTACCTGTCCCCACAGCTGGCCACAGTCCCCATCCCCCCAGTCTGGGCAGGGGAAAGACCTCTCAGAACATCACCCAACAGAGCTGCAGCCCCGAGTCTGAAGCCCTGGTTGCCGTCCTTCCCATCACCTGGATGCAGAATACAAACCACCCTCGGAGGCCCTAATCATTTTTCTATAAATATCAGAGAGTCTCGCTTCGGAGGGGGAACATGAGCGCCGAGCTCTTTTTGCCTTCCTGACGGTGTTTAAAATCTGATTTAGAATTAATTTCCTTTGGTCATCCACCGGCAGACACCTTATTTGTCAAGTCTCAGGCTCCTGGCGGGGGTGCGGGGAGAGGTGGTAGGGCCACAGGCAGCTGCCGGCCGGGCGGGCGGCCTGGGCAAGGTGCCCTCGGCAGGGGCAGCGGCCCCGCCTGGCACTCGGCCCACTCGCCGGGCACGCGGGCTCCGGAAGCGCCCTGGGTCGGCGGGCAGGGCCGGGCCCCAGCCCAGAGCTGCTCCATCTGTCTCAGCCATTAATTCCCGGCTCTGTCTCCAGGTCTCCGGGCTCCCCGAGGCCTGGTGATTAGTATTCTTATTAAAGATTATTTTATTTTCATTGCACGGATTAATCTGGCTTTGACACGTTATAGCCATATGGGTATTTGCAGAGCGTGTGAGAACCACCCACTGGCGAGCGGCAGGAAGGCCGGGTCATCTCTAAGCCCTGGACGCGTGTTGAGAGGCTGGTGGGGGAAAGGCCCGGGCCCCAGAGGCTCCCCACCTGGGTTTGCCTTCTGGCCCAATGGGGAGCCTTGGGCAAGGTACTCCAAAAGAGATGTATTATCGCCACCACACAGCATTGTGACTAAGTGCCAGGCACGGTCCTGGCGTGAATTCACATGTGCTCACTCAGGTCACCCTGGCAACAGCCCTAGGAGGTGGGTCCTATTATTATCCCCATTTTACAGATGAAGAAACTGAGGCCCAGCAACCTGCCCAAAGTCCCATAGCCTAGGTGAAGGGGTCAGACCAGAAGAGGAACCCAGGCAGCCTGCTCCCGAGTTTCTGCTCTTAACTGACGAGAACAAGATGAACTCTGTGGCCGGTAGGGACTCAGGAACTGTGGGCCATCTCGCCACACTTCCTTCATGCCACAGATCGCCCCAAGGTGTCACCACATGTTTTCTGTGTGCCTGTCACGGCCCAGACAGCTCCTTGAAAGCAGGACCAGCTCTTGCTTATCTCGGCTCCATAGTAGCAGCTCAATAAATTTGGGGGAATGGGGCGCCTGGGTGGCTCAGTCGTTAAGCGTCTGCCTTCGGCTCAGGTCGTGATCCCAGGGTCCTGGGATCGAGCCCCGCATC